AAAATTAATAATTTCAATAATTGAAAGATAATTTTTTTCCTAAGTAAGTCTAAAAGTAGGCAACAAGTTCAATAACACAAAATTAAAAACTTAACCTAAAGCGTGAGAGGTCGGGGTTGTTGTGTTAGAGTTTGAATCACTAGCACCCAACATAGTCATCAACGATTGTATCATATTTCTTTGCTCGGCGGCTTCCTTTTCTGCCTCATGTTGTCCCTCTTTTAACAAGCGACTCTCCTCGTCACGCTCGGCAAGTTGTTGCCGCAAATCTTCCTCGTCAACTGCAGATACCCGCTTAGAGAATCCCTTCGCCGGTCCTCTCATCCTCGCAGGTCAAACCGCCAAGCTACCCATACCTCGAATAACCGTACCTACCGGCATACCAACAATTTGCTCGATGATTGATATTTTTTTTATTGGGCAACAAATTGGAGGCCTGGCAGATTCCGGTGTAAAACCCAAAAATTTCGAGGAATAAATAATTTTATCTTCATTAATATTCTTTTCATTTTTTTTCTTTTTGAATTATAAAACACACACATGTACTTATATATATATATATATATATATATATATATATATATTAAATTAATAAATAAATTAAAAGAAGTTTAAAAATTGGACCAAAAGTGAAAGAAAAAGTCAAGACATGGGTGAAAGTTGTAAATTTGCGATAGTTAAGGGGTTGGGTCAGATGTAAACAGGTCCAAATCAGAAGGAGCTGTTTTGTAAATTCGCCATATCTGAAATTTTCAGAAACTTGAAAACGACAATTCATTTGAAGCCTTCTAATTGGTCTGAATATTCAACTATTACAACAAAAAAATTACATATACATGTAGACAACACTTTGCTCTACATTTTTGCTTCAAGAAAACCGAACTTTCGTTGAGTTTCAAAAGAGAAATCGGAGGTTGAAGTTCGGGTTCGAAAAGCTCCGTTTATTGACGATTGGAGRTAAAATACCCAACCAAATTTCGAGTTCTTTATATGGATGGCTTCATTTTTAGGTSCTCTATGAAACCTTAGTAGCCTTATATCTCAKATTTTAGTTTTGAATGTTCGATTTTGAGTTTTTTACTGATTTTCGAGTGGTTTTAAAACCGTAACTTTAAACGAGCGTAGGAGACTCAATACTTGATGGTTTTCGTTGATTTTTATTCCTATGGTTAAGGAAAATCATTTTCTAGAGTTTTTGCAAAGAATCATCGAAAACGATGAAGAAACGAGAGCAAGGGGCTGTTTTCCGATCGCCGGTGCTGTTGGGAGATGTAGGAGAAGGGGTGGCCCATTCTGGCCATCTGGGCTTGAGGCTGGCTATCTGGGCCGTTTTTTTTGCCTTACCTTGTTATGGGTTGTTTTATTTAATTTTTTTGGATTTAAGATTTAGCCCATCTTGGGTGGGTGTATTTGGTTTGAGATTTTGAGTAATTAATTTAACCATGTCAAATCTAACCAATTAGTATACTATTCCATTTTATTATATTATATAAGTTATATTGTTTAATTGATTTAATTTTCTTTTAAAAAAAATAGTATGTTATTTAATTAATATATTAATTTATTTTAGAGAATTAATAGTGATTAATTAATATTTTCCTAAGTGGTTTATTAAATTGATTAGTAATTTAAAATGTTCTCTTAGTTGTCGGAATTTGATTTTTTTTTTCAGTTGTCTAAGACATCTTAATATGAAACATAGGTCTCATTTAGTTGATAAAAGGATAAATCGATGTTAAGAGTTGTTATCAGACATAGTACTGAGAGGCTTCTTAAATTATTTTGATGATTTAATATTGAGATTAAAGTGTCGTATTTCCGAGTTAATCAATTATAGAGACGTATTAAATTAGAGAGTTTGATTTATAAGATCATAAAATGTTTATTTTGATGTTTTAAGATGTTGTCGAGTTTTAGTCATGGGGTTTGACTAAAGTTAGTCGGGGTTGACCGAGTTGACCAAGGGTTGACTTTTGACATGTTTGACCCATRTGGATTTTAATGATGGATCAAATAGAGTTGTCTGAGGCATATTAAGATGCTCGGATACGAAGTTTGACTTTAGGTTGGGTCAGAATAACAATAGTTGACTTTTGTTGACTTTTTGAGAAATTAAGACGTTAATGAGATATTATGGTATGAAATGTGTAGGCATTTGGTCAAGAGCTATCGGTAACCAATAAATACGCAATCAGGTGAGTCTTCATGAGATTTCACTAGGATGCATACCTAAGTACAAATTTATTTTTGCATGATATGAATTGTTGATGATGTGTACGTATGCATGATATTTCAAGTACATACATGTTATGATATATTTTACATGTATGTTATTTTGTGAATGGTTACATGCTACGTGTTTAATCAGTCTTCGAATAACTCTAGCATGCTATTCCATATTAAAGTTTTATGATTCAAGGGTGGGCATTGACCAGTAAGTCACGACCAGTATAAAACACGACCCGGACAAGTGGGTGATCAATTAAGACTGACATATCAACCTAGGGCGTGTTTGTGACTAAATGACCCATATCCGACTAAACATTATATGCGATCTCTTATTTTCAGTGTTTTAAATAAATATATATATATATATATATATATTTTAAAGCTGTGAATTTTATTATAAAGCATGCATATATGTCATATATATATATGTCAAGATATGATTTTATTCACGCAAACCATAAACTCACTGAGCTTTATAAGCTGACTATAGTATGCATCTCAGGGTCAGGTAGTTCGAGGTTGGATAAGGGCAAAGGACACGCTTAGAGAGTTGCTACTTATCATCTTATTTTTAGTCTTTTGTTTAGCAGCGTTGTGTCGATCTTTTGTAACTTAACCTGGTATGAGGTGGGTTAGAACTTAAGTTAATTTTTGTTTGATTCAAAGACTTCCGCTGTAAACGGTTTAAAAGGTGTTATTTTAACCGTCTTTTGGAGTGTTTATTTAGGAATTTGTTTCAGATTACGTAACATTCTTATAAAAAAAATGAGGGGTGTTACAAATTGGTATCAGAGCTTTAGTTTAAGGTAATTAGGTTAAGATTTACTTAGCCTAAGCTTAAACTGAGAGGATCGTTAGAAGCATGTGTTTATTGTGTATTAGTATTGCTTATCATGCGATTAAGTTTGATCCTACGTTACTATTTGACATAGTGTTCCTTTTATGACTTGTAGGAGACATGGTTCACACCATTCATACTAGGTCTATTAGACGCGGACGTGGACGCAGATACGGAACACGTAGGACACTTTATGGGCTAGAACCGAATAGAGGACCTATTGATAGTCACCGCTCCAGCGCCAGACATGTTTCCGGCACCCGGTCTAGAAGCGATAGTCTGGCCCACACTAGTGAAGTGTCATCACGAGAGCCCATCAGGCGAAGGACCACACCTGAGCCTTCGGAGGACTACACGTCCCGCACCCCTATACGTGAGGACATGATGGAGACTATAGAGACCTTGAGGGGTGAGAACACAAAGCTAAGAGAGAGGTTGACCCGAACTTTAGATGGGAATACTAGACTGAATGCATGGCTGAACAATCTTCAACAGGCACATGTCGAACAAGGAGGAGCCCTAAACGAGCTAATTGTAGAGAATGCAAATTTGTCGGAACAGCGTCATGCACTGATTTGGGATAAAGTTGTACTTGAACAGGAGCGAAGAATTGTTGCTCGCCCCGTAGGCGCTAGATTCAGAGACAGAGTTCACTTTTATAAGAAAATGACCATATACTATGCTGGTGTAGTGAGGGCTATTTCTCCGACTGGGTCCAACGCATCAAAAATGTGTGTTGTGGCATTCCAGGCCATCCACATCTTTTGAGGAGTGGTTGAGGGACCCTTATCTCCCTTATTACCCTGCAGATCAGTTTTAGACATAGAATCCTTTTGAGAGAGGGGAGAGAGAAAGATCTTTTGGGTATGTGATTTAATAGTACGTGTCTAGATAGTTGATCGAATTTTCATCTAGTCCAGTGCTTCAATAGATTTTTTTAGCATTCACATGATTTAGAGATGTGTTTAGAATTATGAAGTATCCCATCTTTTGTAAGTAAATGGGATTATGTAATGTCTCTCTCTCCATGATTGTTTATCGACACGAAATATATATAGCTTGTTGAGCATTATGAAATTTTCGACGTGAATTCCTTATTATGTATTTCGCTTATATATAGTGATTATATTATATTTTAAAATAGTAGTGTGTTATGTTTGACTTTAGAACCATGTTAAAACGATAATACCCTAATATGTCAGTATGGTTTCTCATGGATCAACAAGGAGCGCCCTTAATGGGGGAGGCACTAATGGCATAGCCCCACCAACAGTTCGAGGTCGGACACGAGCCCAAAGTCGAGGTCGAGGAAGTGTCTGAACCACTAGTTCTAGTACGACTCCATCCGCGCAAGCTAATTTAGCTATCGGTAGGAGTCAAGGAGGCCGGGGAGGGGAAAATCCCCTCACAAAGGAAATGATAGCTGAGCAAATGGCA